AATCATCCAGAGGTTTTTATGCTTCCTTTCCTTCCTTCTAGGATGGTCACACAGACTGACATGTGCCACCAGAGTAACATTTGGCACTGTGGCACGTAGTATTTATTCTGTGCCTCCAAGCTCATGTCTCTGGCATGAGGCTCCTCTAGGCCACTATACTAATTTTGTGTTATTAGGAACCAATAATCTCTATTAGGCTAAATTAAAGAGCTCTAGGACACAACTTTGTCCCTGTGATGTAACTGTGGCACTAGCACAGGGACGGTGCTGTCTGTGTAATCTCAGAAAAGTCACTCGGGCTCTCTGCGTCAGCTTTCAATAGTAAAACAGGGCACAGCTGTTCCTCCAACCTCACCCAGGCACTGCGAGGACTGTTACTGGGGTCTCCTACTCTCATGCCACAGAGCTACACGGAGCTCCCAGAGATGAGGAAGTCTCCCGATTCACTTATTAGCTCGACTCGGCCAGCCACATAAGAAACAGACCCAGAGCTTAGAACACAGCTCTAAAATCACACCCTCTACTTTCCCTTGCTGGGAGTTCCCATGGAAACCTCCAACCTTCATTAGCCCAGTAATTTGCATAAACCAAAGATTTTAGTTTGCAATTGTAACGTAGCTAATTGTAGCTAATTACCACTCTCTATCTCTCAGCACCATATAAAGAGATTGGCTACTCCTTCATCAGAGGCGAGACACACAGAGAAAGGCAGACCTAGACCACAAGTCGCTGGCGCTCACACCGTCCCCACTCTCCCCACCTTTAGCGTAACCAGAATCATCCACACTGTCTTCATCAGACTCAGCAGACGAGGCACCCTCTTCACTTCGCAGCGGGGGAATGACGCTATCTCCTTCCACAACAGCTTCCTTGAGCAGCAGGGAATCAAACTTCACAGTGTAGTAACCACTGTCGATGTCTACAGAAGGAAAAACAAGGAACAAGAGTTCAAGCAAGTCTCCAGGATGCAACTGGCAGAGGGCTTTCTGAAACAGAGTTAACTCCAGCGGAACCACATGGGAGAGGGGGAAGGCCCAAGGAACGTGTGTTTTAAAAAAAAAAAAAAAAAATCTGTTTTTAATTTGTGCTTTAGATTTCTGTCTGGGAGGGAGAAGCACCCACTGCAATGCCTGGGCTGGTACTTGAAGGTTTATTTCTAAAAACACAGAAAGACGGGCTGCTGAGAAAGGGAATCAAAGAGAAGTTAGACCTGCTCCCCTCTAACCTAATAACAGTCAAAGAAAGACGGAAAGTGCAAACAAACCCTCACCCTTCCCAGGACATGGGGAAGCCTGTATTGGCAGCTGATGGGCAGGGCCAGCTCCCCTGGCTTTTGTTTAAACAAGAGCAGATTATTGCAAATCTAAACCTAATATGCATGCAAATTCCGGCAACACCTGCCTCTTCCCTTTCGGTGCAGTTAATGGTCACATAGTCATTTCCTTTCCGTGTTCCTGCTCTTATGTCTCCTTTTTGTCTAACGCTCTTCTGTTTGCCAGCCCACTCCCTTCCCAAGCCTGCCAAAATTCAGAATATTTTCTCGGCTACGTCAAGATTTTCAGTTTAGAGCTGCAGCTACACAGTTAACGTTCTTCTATCCTAACCAAAAGAGTCAAGTTTTATGTTCACTTAAGCACCGGCCTTCATCTTCCACACGGAATCCTGGCAAAGCATGCTCACGCAAGACTCACCGGTGATTTTTGCAGTGTACCATATGCCATCACTGTGTTTTGCCAGGCAGGCTGAGCCCACCTCCAGCGCGCTCAGATTGGGCTCCTGGAATGGCTGAAGCTCTTCCACAGAGACCACCTGGCCATGCGAAAACCTACCAGGAAAGGCAGAAGAGGAATTACCTCTACCTCCTTTGAGCTGGCTTTAAATAGAAATTCCTTCTCTCCTTAAAGGAAGTGCAAACAAGTTGTTAGTGGTGACGAAATCTTCACCAGTAATTACGGAAGTTTTATCCTGTGTTATTTCAATTACACAAGTTATTCATTTCTCATCTTAAACACATTATTTAGGCAATGTATCAAAGAATGCCTCCCACCCCAGAGAATTACGCTTTTCTTGCTAGTGACTCATCCAGTAAAAAAGTTCACCTGTGAAGAAGATGTTTGAGATAAACAGGATCACACAGAAAGGCAGGTCTCTAGCCCAGCCTCCTGCTCAACCAACTTCAAAGACCAATCAGGTTGCTCAAGGCCTTATCTAATTAAGTTCTGAAGATCTCCAAAGATGGAGACTCTACAACCTCTCTGTGCAACCGGAATGTATCCACTATCGACTGACAAGCTTTGGGGATTTATTTTAAAATCCTTAATCAGTTATTAATTTAGCCACTTGATTGATTAGGTAAAATCTCTGCAACTTTCCCTGTGGGATTTCCCGTTCCATCTCTGCATCAGCTGAAGAAAACAGCCAAAGTGCTGCCACTGCTGACCATCATACGTTTTAAAAATATAAGCAAAAAGGCATTGGGTATAAAAGCCAAACACGGTACTTTCAGAGGAGGTTTTCCCCTTTGAACGAGAAGGCCTTTAGCTGCAGGAAGGACAGAAGCCCCCTCCCACCCCTTTTGCTTTTTTACCGACAGTTCTCTTTAAATCTGCATTTGTCATCCAAGAAGAATGGGCACGGCTTCAGAGACTTGTGAGTTGGATAGAGGTACAGCACTCTGACTCCTGCACTGCCATCTTCCAAGTCCTCTGTCCCCACGATCATGGCATTGTGGTACTCCAAGGTCCCCCAAGAACTGTAGTAGGGGGCTTTAACCTTCATCCCACTCAACTCCTCCTCCTCCTCCTCCTCTCTGTCAGACTCCTCTGCCTCTTCACTGTACTTTGATTCACTTTTGTCATCAGTTTCTTCATCTCCCTTTGATGATACCTCATTGTTATTTGCTGAAGGCTTCTCATCAGTCCCAAGCTCAGCAATAGCTTCTTTAAAAGCAGCGTACTCCTCATCTTGGGCAGAGCTGTCTGCACCGGCATCCCGCTCCAGGAGACCTACTGGGGAGGAGGAGGAGGAGGCACTTGTATCTAAAGTAGCCAGAAGTTTACTCTTTTTAACAGACACCAGGCTGGATTCAGTCAGTTCTATCAGCTGCTTTAGATCTTCCTGCAACTGAATCAAGTCCGACTGCTGCGATGGGTCCAGGCCTGCCCCTAAAGCCAGCTCCACTTGCTGCAGCTGGGCGCTGTAGGTCTGAATGGCTGCTTCCAGACTCTCCTCATCCATTATCAGCAAAATAAGGGTGTGTTCAACTGTCTTCTTCCCGGGAACTCAGAACATATTCAAAGAGTTTGTTTAAGATGAGCAACTTGTTGGACAACAAGCCTTTGTCCGCAGAAGCTACCATCTACCCCGCTGTCCCGCTTCTTCCCTCAGAAGTAACCAGGCGATGCTCCTGCAGCGAACAGGCGGCGAAAGGCGATGAGGGAGCCCGAGGAGAGGCCGGGCCGGGCCGGGCCGGGCCGGGCCCTGCCCTCCCCCGCCC